AGAGAGAGAGAGAGAGAGAGAGAGAGAGAGAGAGAGAGAGAGAGAAGAGCCCTTTCACATTTTGCAGAAAACCCCTGCTCCTACTTCCCTGCCAAAAGTTAGCAAGGACCTCGTCAGCAGCAGAAGAATAGTCGGTGGGCTTGTAGTAAGGAGGGAGGAGGCCAGCTCTATATGGTGTAGCTTCTAATTCAGGTCCGTGTTTCAGCAGTTATGGGTTACGGACTTACTAACTCGGCATGCGATTGTCAGGGCTTCACTCCACTACTCGCAAAATGTGCAAAACTCGAATGAATCTTCTCCTAGAAACTGGAACCATACAAGCCATATGTTTTTTCTTTTGTGCAAGTGCTGATGAGTGAAGCCAGGCCCTTAGGGCCACTGCATGTAAGAAAAGGAAAAACAAAAAAAACGAGACAGCTACTGTAGTGTTTGGAGTAAAAGTTTGTAACCCATAACTCTTGGAACACAGACCTGAATTGGAATCCAGAATATATTGCTGGGCTGCTCGTGTTCCTCGAGCAGTTCAATGTACGTTCTTCCCAGTGAATGGGAATACCCCTAATTCTTTGCAGGGGACGCTTTGGAAAAGAGACTAAATCCAATGAGGAGTATGATGTGGCCCCAATTTTTGTTTTCTTTTTTTTTTGTGCAATTACAATTTTCAAAAGGGATGCACACATTTGGTTACCACAGCCTACCCGTTTTGTTTTTGTTTTTTTCTTGAACATGTGTTTTATAACTTGTATTATTTATTTTTTTTTGTATACTTCAATGTGTGTGCCTGACATAATTTGTGTCGATGATTCGTGCGCGTTTCCCTTTTGCTTCGTCATGGTCGACTTAACTGCAGGCGGTCAAAGTGCTGTTCTCCTTGGAGGTTGCTGTCGTCCTTGCAGCCTACCTTCTCTTCAACGAACTGCCATATATCTTGTCGCAAAGCCAAACTCCTCAGCAGAAACTCGCTTCACGAAATATTGCTATGACGAGCCCGACAGAAGGATAGCGACGCCGAGATGGTGTGGGGCGCGGCACATTCAGTCAGGAAACACAGCCACACTCGTGCACTCTTCATCGTATACAAAAGACTTGCAGTTCATCAGCTGGGAGTGCCTCTACGCATGCTGAACCCGTGGGAGACTTGCGCACGTCCGTCCGATTTTGCGATTGGTGCTCGGAAGCAAGTGTTCCGTGTGCCAACTCGCCGCGGCTTGCGAACACGTCAACCCGGCACATGCAGACACGTGGTGTGCATCCTTTCTTTTCCTTTGTTGATGTGCCAACTGGCCGCGGTTCGCGAACACGTCAACCCGGCACATGCAGACGCAGACGGGTGGTGTGTGCGTCCTTTCTTCTCCTTTGTTGAGTGCTGTTTTGCGGGCACGTTGCGCTTGCCTTGTTGGCCTTTGTTTTCTGTTGTTTCATGGACGCATCAGGCTTCCTCTCGCTAACAGCTAACACTTTGTCTGACCGTGGTGTTCTTAGTGCCTCCGACAATGGCTGTCAGAGCATGGAGACGACAGGCAAGGCAATAGTAGTGTCAGATCGGCAGTGCTTCAGAGGTGTAGATCTCAGCAGCAGAACAAGGCAGGGCAAAAGAAAAAAAAAAAAAAAAAAGAACAAGGCAGGGCGTGTGTTTTGTTACCCTGTCGTCGGGTTTTCGTTTTGCAGCACTTGGGGGAGGGAGGGTTGTGTGTCTTTTTTGTACCCTTGCGCGCCGGCACTTTATTTTTTATTTTTTATTTTTTTTTAATGTGAAGCCCCGCATTTTGCTGGCGGCGCTGAGGGGGGAGAAGACTTTTTAGCACGGACACACACACACATTTTCTTTGTGGGAAGCCGTCTCCATGAGAGTGGGTCCAAAACATACGCCCCGGGCACAGACACACCCTCGCACACACGCACGCACACACACACACACACACACAGACATATTGTTGGAGCTGGGTTTTGAACCCAGGCACAGCCAAGGCGTTTCAAAAAAAAAAAAAAAAAAAAAAAACAGGTACGGACCTGGAGTTACCTTCTGACTGATGAGTTAACCACCGGTTGCTGTCTCAATTTGGGGACCTGCTTTATGTAAACTTATCCGACGATAATCCGGTGCGGTGCGGTGAACATCTCTTCGAGTGCCTTTTTCTTTTTTATTTTATTTTAGTGAGAGCTGTTCTCTCAGCTCAAGGATGAGGGCTGGAGACCTGTCCACCTCTGGTATAGCCTTAGGCACTGCGCCTGTTTGGTACTTGATTGATGTATACATTGTATAGCCTTGGGCACTGGGCCCATTTATTTATAGTTTAAATTCCGATGCTTAGGGGGGGGGGGGAACAGAAAAACGAAAAGGGCCAAGAAAAAAAGAAAAAAAAAAAAAACAATTCATAGACTCCGCACAAAATGTGAGACTTTGTTCTCATGGAGGACATTATTTATGTGCTAGAAGAGGAAAGACACTGGAGTGTTCTCACAAACATCTCAGCCATACCAGTGTCTTTCTTTACGTAGAGCTTTT